AGCCGCTATTCGCCGTCTCTTTGTGCGCGCTCCTCCGCCGGCTAGTCCTATCAACTGCAGAGAGCACTCCCTGACGGTGCGCTTTTTGCGCTGTTTGATTGGCCATTTCGCTCATAACATCGGCCGCGCTCGGACCGAAGCTGAAACGAAGTATAGGCGTCTACCCTCCGATGGGGAAAATGGACAAGCCTGAAGAAGGGAGCAAAAAGGGAAGAAAGCCCAGCGACCATCTCTAGGGGAGGAAGTGGCCGAGTGGGCTAACGCGTCTCAGCTCGGAGCGTGGAGCGAAAGCTTGCGCTGGGAACCTTCTGGGTTCGATCTCCACCGGCCTCGGTCGTTTCGATCTGGATGAGTTTCGTACCGGCACGCGTTCGTGTAATCACTACTGCGTGATGCACGTTAAAAATCCCAGGTTGGCGGTTGTACTGCACTGGCTGAATTTCTCATCTACAGCTAAGAGACCGATTTCCCGTTGTGGCGTATCTCCACCAAGGCTGTATAAACATACAAAGCAAAGATACAATAGTAAGGGTGCAGGCGAGCTGGTGGATGTTAACCATGTTGAATATACGTTTGAGACGTCGTCCTGTCCCGTTCCGTTTCTTCGACTTCTATATTTTTTTCTACCCCAGTCTCAGGTATATTCAACATGGTTATACAAAGCAAACTATTTTTTTTTTAGCGACCATCTCTTTTGGGCGGCGGACACGAAAGGTGGGAAGCGTGGCCAGGCCGGTGGGAAGCGGAACTAGGGAATCGGTGAGGTTGCGGGGCGACACCAACGAGAGTTTCGACGTTTCTGGATTCGGCGCAACTTCGGCACAACCTCCGAGACGTCCAAGTTCCCTCTGATACTCCACCCAAGCAGCCATCAGTCGTGAGTGTTCGGCCTTGGAACTCCTTATCGCGTAGTGGCGTAGAACTCTGCCGAAACATTCCTAATTTTTTTTTTTTTTTTGCGAGAGTGTGAGGGACTGTGTGCCGTAATTATTTCCCTACCTGTATAAAGTTGCAATTTTTGTTATCGACCGTCTTGGGTGCCTCGCTCCAGCGACAGGGCCCGTTACGACTTAGTGAACGAGACAAAGATTTTAGGGCACCGGTGGGACCTGTCGCTGGGATTTGTGCGGGTGTCCCCCGCGTACGTGAGTGTACCTATGGCGGACGATGACGGGAGTGTCCCGGCCGTGAATACCCTTTCTCGGATAATGGCGAATTCGGTGGGAGCAGGGGTTCTCGCGCTAGGCGCCATGGTTCCGTCATTCACCGGAGATGAAGCGGGACCCACTCCGAGCGAGTTTCTAGAGGTGCTGGGCCAGGTGTCCCAAATGGGGGTTGGAACGATGAGCAGAGGATTGGAATGGCGAAATGCAAGATGGTCGGGAAGGCATACTCGTTTGCGTGGCATGATAAGCAGATGAAGGCTGTGAAGACGTACGCTGATTTTAAAGAGCTTGTACTCAGGAGGTACGACAATGAGCCGGACAGCGAGAAGTTGGGCAAATTCGGGGTTTGGGAGTCAAGACACTGTGCAGGCACGAGGGCGCTGACGCGGAGCAGGTAGATGCCGCTGCGCAGTCCATGCTGCTCAGACAGCTTCTGTTTCGATTTGTAAATGGGTTACGGGACCCGGTCCGACGGTTCGTCTTGTCAAGTGACCCGGCTACCTTTGAGGAGGCTGTGGAAGTTGCCGCCAAGGAAGAACGAAACGAAAGGCTGGTTGCCTCGTCTTCCACGATCCGCGCTCTCGAAAAACGCGAAGAGCAAAAGGTGACGTCGTTCTGACGTCACCGCAACTTCTGTGCAAGAAGCAGACGACTTGGTCTCCGTATTGCTTCACAGGTCCTCCTGACCACACGGCCTTACGCACGCCCTATCCAACTGTAGTCCCTGCAATGGCCGCCTTCTAACAGTGGCAGAAATCGAGAGAAAACTATAGGTATTTTCTTATTCATTGATGGCAAGGGGGTTTCATAGCCTCACTTTATCTGCACTGCGGAGTGAATATAGATTTCACATTTAAATATTCTAAGCTTAAATGGTAAAACAAAATGGCTAGGTGGCGTAAGCTACCGCCCGGTCCAAAGGGCTCAGCCGTATTCATCCATCCATCCATCCATCCGGTGGACCGAGGTGTGTGAGGGGGTGGGGGAGGGGGGGGGTCGTAACGCTCGCAGTTTTGTAACTGAGCTAATCTAATAGCGTTGGATCGAAACCACCGGCCTGACGACAGACAAGCGGGGCTCATGGCATGCGTGATTGCTCGTAACAATCAACGCTTTGGCGGACACTCGGGCAGTTGTTCGTGTCCAACCACTGCGGTCATGAGAATAGCCGAACTCTCATTATGCCTAAAGCTCAGCATCCGTTTTCTACTTAGCCAATCCCAGCGCGTGGCTATGATAGTATGATTAAAGTGGGCGGCATAGGATAGGCACCAGGCAACGTGGTCGCTTGTTCTGGCTCCGAGTTGAGGGGATGAACAATGCTCATATTTATCGATTTTTTTTTGTAACTGCCATTTATTAGAAATGAAAAAAAAACAAGGCAAGTTTATACAGTTATTAACGTTGAAGAGTGATCCTAAGTAGTATTTAGCGAAAGCAGAAAAATCGTTTCGTGGCTCCGTAAAGGAGCTATGCAACAACTTAAGGGCTTTGCTTAAATAATCGTGGAAGTTGATACCTGACTCTTCCGTAGTGAACTACAGAAAACAGATTTTGCCTGGATACCATAGTTTTTATTTAAAAGAATGAAAAACATCCAGGTTTTTGTTGCCTCTCAACTCGTACGTCGTTTTCCGGGTCACGTGCGCAGTGACGTTGATGGGGTAGGCGCGGGGTTCCGGAAAAGTTCTCTCTTTAGAGCCATCAGTGAGCAGCGATAACTCATCCGCTCGAGACCGCGTGACCACGTTAAAGGGAACTAGAGGAGGGGTAGTGAGATCAGCCGCCGAGGCGCGCCATGCATTTCTGTGAAACGGAGCGTGTGGAAAGGTCCCGGATGTACGCGGTGGCGCTGCGGACGTAGTGGCTGTAGGATCCGACCGCTTCCGAGCGTTCCGAAGACCCTGGACGAGGAGAGTTGGCTTGCGTTTTTGGCAGCTCGAAGTGGCCCCCATTCTGAACCGCTCTTTACCCCGTGTTACCCGTTTCTGCTGTCGTTTACGGTCATTGAAGTGCCGTGCCGAATCGACGTCGACAACGCCACTGCTTCGCTCCGGGGTGCCAGGGGATGTTGTAAAATGACAACCGCAAGGTTTAACCCAATACGAACTTTTTATTATTCTAAATCTACAACTTAAGCTTCGTTAAACACAGAAGAGTTCTTTTTGCGTGGCGTCTTTCGTGGCGTTCGTTTTCGATCTCTCTTGTTCCCACACCGGGCTGTGGCTGTTGCTCGCGTCTTCCTTCTCTCTCCTCTCACCGACGTTTCAAATTCCGCTTCTTTTCCCGTCCGCTTCTTCGCACCCCCAGATGGTTGATGGCGGCGGCAGGCATCTCGTCTTGCTCAAGTTCGCCCGAGCTGGTGTAAACATGACGTGAGGCCGCGGGCAAAGCTCAGTCCGTCAGGTGCCAGTCGAGGTTACCCGAGCATCCACGTGCTTTCCTCGTGATCGGTGTTGTCTCTTTGTGTGTGCTTATTTTTCGTCTTGTCTGTTTACGTTCTTACGCTGCGCCGTACCACGTGAGATTTATCGCCATCTCGTTGTCGGTTTTTCTGTTTCTTGCCCTCCCGAGCTCCGAGTCAGAGTTCAAACTTACAACAATCTCCCCCGGAATGAGCGGGCACGGTCATTCTTTTAACTCCAACGGGTACAGATGTTGAATGGGCCGGCGAAGCCTTCCTCCCCCGGGTAGGATCAGCTTACATGCTCTTGCTCTGCCGTCCCTTCCTTGAATAGTCTCCTCTATTCTGCAGGTTTTCCACATGTGTCTTGGTAGACGGTCTTCCTTTAGAAGAACCAGGTCACCCACTTGGAGTCCCGATGAGGCAGTGGGTTTGACCAGGTGCGCTGACCTTAGTTCGAGCAGATACTCTCGCCGCCACCGTCTCCAGAAATTGTTCACCACCGCAGTGCGGTATTTCCATCTTCGAGCAAGCTGATCTCCAGCTGGTCGCGCTTCCGTTGGTAGTCGATGTGGCGGAAGGCTCGTTAGTTTCCTCCCCACTAGGAAGTGAGCTGGGGAGAGCACCTCTGGTTCCTCGGCGTTTGCGTACACGTACGTCAGAGGGCGAGAATTTATGACGGCCTCGACCTCGGCCAGGACAGTCGTTAGTTCCTCAAAATCCAGGCTGCTGCGTCCCAACACCTTGCGCAGAGACACCTTGACGGATCGCACCATTCTTTCCCAAAATCCGCCCCACCATGCGGCCCTCTCGACGATAAATTTCCAACGGATTCTGTGATTCGAGAAGTATGCCTGCACTTCTTCAGACCGGATGGCACGGAAAATTAGTTCAAGGTCTTTCGACGTTCGTTTGAATGTTAAAGCGTTGTCCGAATACACTGTCGTGCTGATCCCGCGTCGTGCGACAAAACGCTTGAAAGCCAACAAAAATGTGGCGGAGGAGAGGTCACTCACCAACTCCAGGTGGACCGCCCGTGTAACAGCGCACGTGAATAGAGCGATGTAGCACTTGCTGCTTCCTTTCCGTTGACGGCAGATCAAAGGTCCTGCGAAGTCTGCTCCCGTGATGCTAAAAGGCTCGCTTCTTGTGACTCGGTCCGCCGGTAAGGGAGCCATTGGCTCGGATGCGGGCAGGCAACTTCGTTTTCGGCAGGCGAAACACTTGTGAATTACTTTCTTTACTGCTTGTCGTCCTCTGATGATCCAGTAGGATTCCCGTAGCCGTCCTAACGTGTCTCGAACCCCAGCATGGAACAGCCGACGGTGTTCTCCAGCGATGAGAAGGGTGGTGAAAGGGTGATCGGCGGTAAGGACGATTGGGTGCTTCACATTCTCGCTGTTGTCACTGTGCTGCAATCGTCCACCCACTCGAACCAATCCGTCGCTGTCCAAGAAAGGGTTCAAATTCCTGAGAGTCGATTTCCTGTCAACTTGTTTGTCTTCACGCAAGCTCGTGATTTCTGGCACAAAAGTCTCGTTTTGTGCAATGGTAAGCCAATACGTTTCGGCTTCTATCAGTTCTTCGCTTGAGAGAGGTCCGCTTTGTTTGTCTGCTGCCTTGGCACAATTCTTCACGAAACGTTTGATCCAGGCAGTTACGCGGATCACCTTGGTTGCCGAGTTGTACCTTTCGAAGTCGAAAACTGGAAACAGAGCTGGTGCTGTTACTTGTAACACCATTGCCTTCCTTTCTTCTGCTTTGTTGTCCGCAACCTGGCAAGCATTTTCCACTTGACTTGGCCAGCCTTCTTCATTGCATGGCAGTAAAACTTGGTACCGTTCGTTCTCAAACTTTACGGATTTCTTGAATTCGCTGAGCAACTCCGTCTCTGAAATCTTCGTCACGTTGTCAGCTATTCCTATGTGCTCAGGTTCCCAGAATGATCTGAGCTGAGCCGAACTTTCCGCGTCGTTTGTATCGGACACAGTCACCCTCATCACTCCAGTTGTTGACGAGTAGATTGTCGCAGAAGTAGAGGTAAGGGGACCCTGAAGTGTCCACCCGAGGATGGTGTCGACTGCCATCAGCTTCCCATCCAAGCGCTTGACTCCGCCGTTCACAATGTCCCAGAAGTGATCGGCTCCGATGAGAAGGCTGATTCCCTCCTCGCATGGATTGCCCCAGAGCTCCACGTCCGCGAGGTTCATATCGTCAGGCAGCCCCCGCAGTTCCTCGGAGGGGTTGTTCATGACATCTGAGCAGATGTGAGGAACCTCGAGGGCTTCTATTTTTACGCATCTTCTGTCGTATTGGCTGCGGAGCCACAGTTCCACTCGCTTGCATTTCGTTTTCGTTGCTGCGTCTCCAAACGTGAAAATCGTCAAGTCCTCCTCACCCAGTTCCTTCAGGTGAAGCCTCTTGGAAACGGTTTGGCGAATAAAAGTCCGCTGACTTCCTCCGTCGATGAGAAGTCTAATCCGGCAACGCTCTCTTTCACCTTCTGCCCAGGCTTGAGCTGTCTGCAGAAGTACTCGCGCTCCACTGTTCCTTTCTCCGTTTGTTATCTTGAGCGTTGACTGGAGTGTCGTTCCCTCCGAAGTTGATGTTTCACCGGTGTTCGCCATTTCTTTTACCGTAGTCTTATGCTGAGGCTTGAAGTTCGGGTCGCACATGGCACTTGCGTGTCTCCCTGCACACTGCGCACACTTCAGCCACTTTGCACTTCTGCAATCCTTTGCTCGATGGTTTTTCTTGGTGCAACGATAACATCGGTTTTCAGCCTTCAGAACACGCTTGCGTTCGTCGTTGGTCATTGAGGATGTGCAGTCCGCAGTCAGATGAGCACCTGATTTGCAGAACACACAGTTCTTTTCATCCAGGCCTGCTGCTGTTGTTAGTACAGACGCAGAAGGAGGATAACGACTCTGCTGATCTCTCCTTGCACGAAAGGTTCTTTGATCCTCGGTTCGTGGCACGGAATGTCCTGACCCATATAAGCTTCTTTCTCGGCTTTCTATCTCGATTTTCAGGAAGTCCAGAAAGTCTCTCAGCTCGTTGTGTTCTGTCGCTGTTCGTGAGGCGGACCTCCGGTTGTACTCCAAGCTCAGATCGGCCGGCACGACCTTTCGAAGAACGGTAAGGAGCATCGTTCCATAGGTATCCGATTGAACCCCCAGGGCGTCAAGACTTCGAACTCCCGTCTCCACTTCATCGTATAACGCTCTGAGCGCATTGACGTTCCTGGAGTCATGGACTGGTTTGATCTCTAGAAGCCGTGACAGATAACTTTCGATGATCAGCTCCTGTTGACCAAATCTTTCCTTCAGGAGGATGATTGCAACTTTATAGTTCTCGGCAGTAACGGCGAGTCCCTCAATTGCCGCAGCAGCTTTTCCGGTCAGGTAGCTTTTGAGGTACTTGAACTTGTCGATTTCCGAGAGAACTTCGTTCTGGTGAATGGTGCAGTCAAATTGGCTCCAAAATCCTTGCCATGCTCGTATGTCCCCTTGGAATTTCGTTATCTCAAGTTTCGGGAGCTTCACTGTCGTAGTCATCCGTCCTTGATTTGCGATAGTTTTGACGGCCGTGTTCTGCATCAAAGATAACCTGGCAGCGGCTTGTTCACGTTCTGTCAGCTTGTTTCGCAATCGCGTCTTCGTTACGCTGATTCTTTCATGGTAAACTTCCGCGCCTGTCATCTCCTCTTCTATCGATTCGCAGTCCACAACTTCTTCCATCTCACGGTCCAGTTCCTTTAACGTTGATTCTCTGGACACCAGAAGTTCAAACTTTTCTTGAAGCTCACCCGTATGCGTGTCTTCCGCGGCCAGCAGAACATCGATTTCGTTCAGGAGTTTCGTTGCTGACGTTCGGACCACTGCTCTTCTGCGTCTCAGTCGGTCGATTGTAGCTTGAGTTGCCATTTCTTCGTTCGGGGGTTGCGTTGGCGGTTAATCCCGGGTTTCGGCACCAGAAAGTTTTTGTTGTAAAATGACAACCGCAAGGTTTAACCCAATACGAACTTTTTATTATTCTAAATCTACAACTTAAGCTTCGTTAAACACAGAAGAGTTCTTTTTGCGTGGCGTCTTTCGTGGCGTTCGTTTTCGATCTCTCTTGTTCCCACACCGGGCTGTGGCTGTTGCTCGCGTCTTCCTTCTCTCTCCTCTCACCGACGTTTCAAATTCCGCTTCTTTTCCCGTCCGCTTCTTCGCACCCCCAGATGGTTGATGGCGGCGGCAGGCATCTCGTCTTGCTCAAGTTCGCCCGAGCTGGTGTAAACATGACGTGAGGCCGCGGGCAAAGCTCAGTCCGTCAGGTGCCAGTCGAGGTTACCCGAGCATCCACGTGCTTTCCTCGTGATCGGTGTTGTCTCTTTGTGTGTGCTTATTTTTCGTCTTGTCTGTTTACGTTCTTACGCTGCGCCGTACCACGTGAGATTTATCGCCATCTCGTTGTCGGTTTTTCTGTTTCTTGCCCTCCCGAGCTCCGAGTCAGAGTTCAAACTTACAACAGGGGATATCAGTGGCGGAAAGGTGAGCAGCCGTCGCTGTTCTCACTACCTTAGGCGGAAGAGCAAAGAAAAGTTTGGGAACGGAACTTGCATCGCCAGGATAAGCTCCTGGACGAAACGTGTTCGGTCTGTGAGCTTCATTTTTAGCCATCGTTTATAACGCGAGAGTTCGTTCACATTATAAACGATGAAGAGGTGCGCATTCCGCGTGGAAAACCGCAGCTCTTGCCGGGCGTTGTACCAGCGTTGCTTCCGACTGCTCCGAGCTACCAATCAAAGAAACCGTCGCAGCCAAGGTCCACGAGAAAGCGAAAAAACACCGATGCTTTCTCAGTTGACGGTAAAAAAGGCCACACACTGCCTCTCCAACTGCCTGTAGCAGCACTGGCACCACCACATCGGCTGCAGCCGATACCGGGGCAACTGGGGCGTTTGATGAAGCCTGTATGCCCGAAGAATACTCCACGCTGCGTGTCCCCTCCGAGCACTGGAGCCGTCACCGAGTTCCGAGCCTCAGTGTTTTCGTGTATTGTAAACTTAAAATGTGTGACAATGAAGTTTTATTCGAGACAGTTGTGATTTTTTCACGGGACAGCATGCCTGGTGTTTGTTCCTCTTTGTGGCCGCATGACTGAAGGAGGACGCCTCGTCAGCTGCGAGGAAGCGGAGGTTCCTTTCCGAGACGTCGACTCCCATCGTCTCTGTGGAGGTGCCGGCGAAAAATAGGTCCCGCGAACAATTCCGGTAAAATGTAAACACATTGGAACCTATAGTGAGATCCTACCGCGTCGCGAAAATTAGAACCCTCGAATTACTTCGAAATTATAGCTTCGACCTAAATCGCGAAATATTGAACCCGCGAAAAATAAGTCGTTTACATTATTGTGTTCTTGCCGAGTTTAACTAATAAAAAGTGTATTGATCTATAAATAAAAGGGTTTGCTGTCACACGAGTTCTTTTTGTCCAGCAGTATTTACCCTACAGGTTTCTTTGAAATTGGCTTAACGAGACATAATGGTGAATCAATAAAGGAGATTAAACCTTGGGGCTAGCTATGCACGGTTTCAAAACTAGGTATAAAAGGAATCATCCTGTTAAAAGGATTGCATGCAATTCTTGAGGCTTGAGCCGTAATTGTTTAAATGTCTAGGCAGTGGTCTAGGAAACAACAATACGATCCTGTCTCAATATTACAACTAGTCATTTATGCGCGCGAGTGAAGGACTTCTTGACCATTAAATAGCTTCACCCTGTTTCTAATGAGAGACTCCTAACAAACCCACCTGCCATAAAAAAAAAAAAAATAGCACGAACATTTTTGTTTTGAAACGCCGCCCAGGAAATTGGACTGGTGGTGTTCGCCTTCCACGTCGCGCATTTCTGCTTCGTACCCCGCGCAAAGCGAACACGGCCAGACGAATTGCGTCAGTGTTGTGTCGCGTATTTCTTTTATGGGGTTCGGACCTAAAACGGCAAACATTTCGAGCCGAAAAGCTCCAACAAAGAGTGTTTAGTCGCGCTGCAAATGCAATGCGAGCCGTCCTGGCCACCCGCTTCATCCAGCCCATGCATTCGCGGCGCCATCTCGAGCCGTCGACACGAAGTGCGGCCGCCGTCAGCGCGCGCTGACCTCACTACCCCTTTTCTAGTTCACTTTAAAGGGATACTACAACGAAATTTCGGCGCTCATTTTTTGGTCTATATGTGTTCAAAAGAGCAGTATCACATGGAACATACCAATATATTGTTTAAAAAAGCCTCGAAAAGGAATTTTAAAACGAACTAAACGATTAGCAAAGAGCACCTGGTGGATGTCGCAAACGCCTCGTTTGTAATGCTCGTCTAGGAACCTTGACAGGTAGTGACGGAGGTTGTCTCATCTCCGGCCACGACGAGAGAAGGGGGGAAGGAGGAACTCCGCTTTTCCTGAGAATCCCTTTTGTGTGTAGCAGAAGTCGCTATTGTCCCCCTAGAAGATTATAGAAGATTAACCCGCCACTCAAAATTCGTACAAAAGCAGCCACTTCGGTGGCTGGAACGACCAGGCCATCCTCTCGACGTCAGCCTCGCCGTAGCTTTGCTCGTCTTGAGACGACCTACGTCACGATTGCGTTGGATGTCAAGTGCTCTAAGCTGGGCCTTCTCCGAGCGCTTGCCAGAGTGGGCCGTTTATAACAAAAAATACAGCCACCAGGCTTAAAATACGAACGTGCGATTGTCATTTACGGATATTGTGTATCATATTCAACCTATTTTTGAACACGACGGGAATATTTCAAATTTCGTTGAAGTATCCCTTTAAAGGCCGCTGTACAAACGGGACGTTCTGCAGGGAAGAACCTTCTCTCCCGAAGCTGGAGACGGGGAGGGAAAGGGCCAGCGTTGGGTGGAAAGGGTGTCTAGAGAAGGGGATTAGCCTCGGGGCGAGCCATCCTCTCGAGAGGGAGTGGGGACGGAACAAAGCTGCCGTTGGGGTTCCGGCTACCAGGTGGAAGATAAGCTCGTCAAACGGCGACCTCGGATGCGAGGACGGGCACGTCAGAGAATTTGAAAATAGCTGCTTGATTAGCTGGACGACCCAGTGTGGTCTACTGGCTCTAGAAGGTGACTCGGATGAAGAAAACTCGTTTTGCTCCAAAACTCTAAAAGCATTCTGGAACGTGAACTCTTGCCACAAATAAAAATAACACATACATGAAAAACTACGAAGGCACCTAAGCTTTCTCCTATGATGTGAAAATGCGCGAGCATTACAGGCAGAGTTATGTTGGCGCAACTTGCAATAAAGAAAGAAAACAAAAAGTTATGTCGGCGCAACTAGGCGCAACGAATAGCGCGCTAGTTCCACGATCAAGAGGGCCTAGCTTTGAAACCGGGCAGGGGATGATTTTTTCTCGTGTTCTTTTTTTATTTCGTTTATTTTTTTTTGTTCGGTCACGTGACAATAAAAATCACATGAACAGAATTTTTTTTTTGGACACGTCGCCAGAGATTTTTTTTTTATTATTATTACTTTTCCTTTTCTTCTGTTTCTTTTTTTTTTTTTTTTCTTTTTTTCGGTTTACGCTCCCTTTTGCAAAACTCTTTGCACCTATTTCGCGTTACATTAGCGTTAGCCAAATCATTTTATTTATGGCAGGGAATTCTGCCGTACGTATCTTATGTTACTATTACCAACCCTGGCTTACAATACGCATAGAGAATTTCGTCCGGCAACCAGTTTGGTAATGACGAGGCCAAATTTGTGTTATAATTTTTTTGAAGTATGAGCATAATTTCGGCCTCGTTATCCGTCGGTCTCTATGATTGGCTCTTCAAGTATCTTTTGGGAAGGCAGACGACTGGCATTTTTAGTGTGCACGTGTGTCGACCAGAGTGAACATTGCTGAAGCGCCTCCAGTGTGATTTTGGCCGTAAATAACTGGAGGCCCCGGGCAAACCCACCCAATGTAGAAAAGTATCTACCTTTCTCGTTTCATAGAGAGCTATGAAAGGGACGAATCCCAGCCGAGTCAAACTAGAGGCTTGCAAACGCATTCGTGTTGAGAATAGCTCCAAGGAGTTTGTATGACTCTCTCTGGCAGTGTACAGAGGGTAAAGGCACGGAGGTAATATATGCTTTCGCCTAGTCACCTCGCAAACGGTTGGGTATTGGCTGCAGAGATCCATTTCGCTTTGTTTTATTACCGGGATTATAGCTTCATTTCTGTGTTCCTAATTTCAGAGACAGAACGAAATCGCTTTTCTCGTGTGGCGTCACGGCGGTGAGACAGAAATGAATCAGTGTACCGGAATTTGACGCTTGTGCTCGTTCTATAGCGCTTCTAAAAACCGTGTGATCACGGCTGTCCAATTAACGTCAACAATGCATAAACTGCAGTTACTTGTACTCGTATTGCATCGCGAGGGAACGACTATGACTGGGTAAACAGGAATAGGGAGAATGGGTGCGTGTGATTTGTTGAAGTTCGAATCAACAAATCAAGCTTCAACGAATGCGATTGTATTGCATTCACTGAACCAGCTATATGAGTTTTCAGACGGTATATACCTTCCCAGTATGCGATTCGTGTTCTGCCAGTGGTGCCTCACCTAAATTAAAAAAAAGCAAAATCCACGTTGAAAAAAAAAAAATGTTTACTGTGAGTCGAGCCGCTCCCGCGCCGAATCATGTTTCACGTAAGCGTAATCTTGGGGTCGATGCACGACGAGTTGTCTTCAATCATAAAAATAGTTTGATTACGATTATTGGCTGCGCTAAGAATTTGAAAGCCAAGCAGTGTTCTTAGAAAGATTATATACATTTTATTTTACACTGTTTGACTACGCTGCCGTCGTTATGTTCTTGAATTATTGGCTAGCTTGTGGCGGACAGGGAAGTCTTGCAGGACCATATAATAGGACCTACACTAAACCTGCCGCACTTCAAAAAATGTTAGTCCAATGCATACAAGCTTGTTCAAGGCGGACGGAGCGTTGCGCATCCGGCAAAACGCATACAATCGCTGCCCGCGGCGTTTTTTTTTTTTTTTTTTTCGAGCAGCGAAATCATTTTTAGTTTAGCAGCAGGCCCCCTTTTCGGCGGGTTAAGCCGGATTGACGGAGGTGTCTCCTAATCCATTCTCCATGTTGTCCCCTCGGGGGAGGGCGGTAAACAGGTGGGGGAGGGCGGTGAAGGAAGGAAAGGAGGGCAGGAGAGGAGGAAACGCAGAAAAAGTGGAAAGCGCGAACTGTACGGCGGCCTTTAACCACGTGCTGGCGGACACCGCGCGAACAATATGGTGAAAGGAGGAAAGTCTCCCTTCGGCTTCTGGCGGCTGTTCGCAGTAGCAGAGAGAGCTGACGGTTTTGTGGACTTAGGATAGATGCCGCCACTAAAACTCCGTATAATAAAAAGTTGTCGATGATACCAGGTTTTTGACGAATTTATATATATGTTGGAACGACAAGATTTATAGAAAAGTTACCTTTTATCGAGCAGGTATCCGCACAACTTGCTATCTTTCTACAAGATTCCCCATTGACGTCACACCCCGTGTTTCTCATGGCCGCAGCTCGCGGCTGCAGGTCGGGGAATATTCTAAGTTTTGCCTCGCTATTACGCGGCGGAATCGCAACATTTCGATGAAAGGAGGTGTGTTTTCTGTCATTTGTGACAAGGTGAACAATATCAAAAGCAAAAGATGCCAATTCTTTCAACGTTAAAATCGTTGCACAGCTCCTTCAATTAAAATTTTACCACAACGAACAACTTGCAAGATTTAAGGTTATACAACCAAAATACGATATTTTCTTTGTGTTTTTTGATGAACCAACATCATACCTTGCTGCTAATTAAACATTAAGAAGCAAAAAGATGGGGTTCTTGAGAAAATCGATACCGGTTTTGCTAGGTTTTGTAAACATTCGTTAGTTAAAATGTATGTAGCGAATTGTGTTGTGAACATATAATATTGAATATGTATTCAATAACAAAAATTGAGCTTTCTCGGTATCAATGTTATTAAAGTATCTTACACAGGTGACACTTCATAACGTGCCACGAAAATCATCGGTGTGCGATGTACCTACATTTTGAACACTGTAGGTTTGACGAAGACAAAATGATGCAACACTTTTAATGGATTAAGACAGTCACGTCGTTGACAGTAATATCTTTGAATTTGAAGAAAATAAGTGTTTTTTTTCTTTTTAATTGCACCTTGAAGTTAATGAACTTTTACCTTTAAATATGTTCGGAAGAACCAAATTTTTGTTTTTAATTTATATATAACTGACAGTTGTTTGAGTTCTCTATCATTGGCGATTCTTGATAGCAAGACTAATTTTATATATAAAAAAAGATCTAGTACATATGTAGGACGCCGTTGTTTTCGTGGGTAGTGATGGTAAATGAGAAATGGGGGCTTTAAAAAAAAAAAGAAGGGGGGGGGGGTAAGGGGTATCGCGTTGTTTCAGAAACCAAACGCAGGTAATGGTCACAGCTCTGCGCCTTCAGTCCTGCGACCTGTCAGCTCGTGCTTGACGCCCTTTCTTTTTTCGTCGTAAATGCGGCAAGCGCCCAAACTCTGTCCCGCTACACCGGCGTGATTAGGAAAGAGAGGCTTCCGTTTCGGGGCTAGTTGTGATGGGGGTTCGCCTCTCATTTGGGAGGCAGGAAGCACGCCAGGGCCGGAAGCAAAGCCTGCCGCACCAAGCGCCATATCAGCCCTTCGCGCATCGGGGGACCGGCGCGCTTTTCTGGCGAACTCCACCGGGGAAGGTGCAACTATACACGTGGGCGCTGGAGAGCGGCCCTGACGTTTCCCGCAAGGTGAGCAGTCTTCGGTTCCCTTTCCTGCTCACCGGCCACTGCCGCCCACCAGCCAGGGCAACGTCAGCAAAAGTCAATCCGGATAAGATTAATAACCTAAACTGGACGTGACAATTGTACTTCCTTTTTTAGCTCAGTCACCATAGAATGCGATATTTAAACTCGTTAGACAGAAACAAAGATTCCAGATGTGTATGTTCACACTTTTATTGCAGTATTATTTAAACAGTTTTCTCACACAGAAGCATACATCAACTTTCCAAGACAATCTTGTGATATCTCAAAGATGGCTACGCGCCTGAATCTCATAAACAATGGCATTTGTCCAAAGGAGCTGTAGAAAAACTCTCTTGTTTGTATACACGAACTCATCTCTGTTACGTCACGGCGCGGTGGTGGCGCGTCGGTCGCATTTCCGGTCTGGGGCTGTGGGCAAAAGTCCCCATGCCAGACGTGTATTCCTGCGTTGTTTTGAAAGGAACGAGACAAAAATCTGCCTTCTCGTCAAAACGCCGCGACTGGGGCCGTACCAAAAGTGTCGAGAAAGGTTTGAAGGTCAGTTTTCACGTGCTCGGTTCGTCCGAAAATATGGATATGTAACAGGCTTGAGCTGAGCTAGTTGGTTGGTTAGCTAGTTAGTATGGATATGTGCCGTGAAAAGGGAAAAGCAGACGCCGTCGGACAATGTTTGCTTGGGTGGGTAGCACTTTGGGTTGAATTCACGGATAGCTGTGGTCATCAGATTTATTTGTTTTGTTCCAACATGAACGCCAGAAAACCGTCAAGTTGTACGGACCACCTGCAGACTACGTTCAGCGCGTCTTCAAGTTCAAACGGCCACCTGATCGTTCGAACTGTCGTCTGCTCTTTCAAACGTGTCTGCTTGTCGTCTGCTCTCTCAGACGACGCCTGCCCGTAGACAGAATCTTGGCCCGGTACTTGCGATAAGAAGTAAGTGCACGCCTCAAAAGACCTAAATTTGAAGGTTGGTGAGCAGGCTCGAGATACAAGGAGATGTTGATCATTGTTATCAGTGACCATCACCGACTTGCTAGGCCTGATTCGCATGGTCCGATTCTGCTTTCAGATTTTCAGTATCGACGTCGACCATCTCAGCTACGGTTCACGCTTTTGCAGCCCGAGCGACGTTGCGACTGAAAATTTCGAGCGAAATCTCATCATGCGAATCAGGCTCTAGCGTACATTCTGCGGCGTCCAGGCGGAATGAATCGCCGCATGTCACATTATTGACGCGAAGTTTTGCGGTGTAACGAGCCTTGTTAATTTCGCTGAGGCCTCTCAGGTAGTCAGACATTGCCAGGAAGACGTAGAATCAACAATTTGAACGCGAAAAAGTGCAGGGGGACTCACACAGACGCCGATAACATCGCATTTCAATGTTTGTTTATGGGCGACGGCGAGCTTCTTGCCCACACCCCCATCGCGCATGCGCGGCGCCGGTGGCGTCCGCTAGGGGCGCTCCGGTTTGTTTGTAAACAACTCTGTGCACGTTCCAATGTCAAATGCAAATCGCATTTGACATTGGAACGTGCACAGTGACATAAATATGACTGCAGTGTGTCGTCAGTGGAAATGGTTCTCTTCACGAGAAAGCAGTGAGCATCGGAAGAGAGTGACATAATTAAATATATTCTATCGAAGCTCATTTATTTCTAAGGAAATGTGCACGAGGGTGGCAGTGCACTGAGCGCAGTATATGTGACGCAGCCACCGTCGTCGCATGTGGTTGTAGTTTGCAGATTATACAGACGAAAAAGTCAGTGGCCTCCCGATGTGCATCGTAGCATGTCGCAGTTCGCAACACGGCGTTGCTGATAGCGACGCATGCATACAATTCAGACAACCCTATACAGTGGCGTACCAACTTGTTTTTGAGTGGGAAGGCAAACTAGGCTCCCCCCCCCCCCCCCTCCTCTCCCCTCCCCTCCCCCCCCCCCCCCCCCTTCCCCGGCCTGGGTCGCATATTTTTACTAGTGGTGGGCCGAACTTTTGCCGAATCGAAACTTCGGCGCAACTTTTCTTTTCTAAAGATTTGGCAATGATTCTGCAAAAATACAATGTTACCAGACTTAACATTGGTATTTTGTTTTTTTATAACGAAAAACGTTTTGTTTTTCCTTCTTAAAATAAATACAACATGTAGTGCCTATTGAAACAGTTATGACTAAATAAGGGGATATTCTACAAGATAATTGTATCGATGTCGCTTTTGTGTGTTTACTGGCAATTTTAGTGTTTGCTTGCAGAAAGTGCCGTGACAACAAGGTTTGGTAGTAGCCGGCGCAGTCATGAATCACGCTACGAGAGTTTTGATTCTGAGGATTCATCAGCGCACGCCTGCAAGTGTGTTTACATTCTTAAAATAAAGGCAATAACCCTGCGTTCTTGCTTTCTTTGGGAGTCACCGTTTCGTGCGCGAAAACGAATGCAACGGTTGCTGAGCCTTCGCCAGAAGAAATAACAATATTGTAAATGGGCATGTTTTTCGATTTGAGTCACTTGGCGTCAGCTTTGCATGAAAGTGCGCGCTCCATATTCGCATCGTGCCGTTTTTAACCTTTAAAATTCCGGTTTCTGGTGTTAGGACGCACACGGACGTTTAGGAAGATGGGGAGAGCTAGAAATATCGGATGTGCAACGTCGAGCATGATGGTTCTGTGTTTAACGAATACTTTTCATCAGTGTTTACTAACGAGTGCTTGGACTCCGTTCCCAATCTCCCTGAAGAGCTTTACGAGCGCATGCATCTTATTAACGTTAACTCCGCCGGTATTTGAAAATTTATTGATAAACTAAAACTTACTTCGTCCGCTTGAACCGATAACATCAACTCTAAAATTACAAAAAAAAAAAAAAAAAAAAACACCAGTGTTATTTCTAGTGAGTATTTGAAACTCATCTTTAATCAGTCCTTATCTCAAAGCTGCCTTCTATCTGACTCGAAGGTGGGAAGGGTAATCCCAGTCTTTAAACATGGCAGCCGCTCTTCCGCATCTAATTATCGCCCTATTTCTTTGACTTCAATTTCATGCAGACATCTTTGAGCATATCCTCTACTCCAAACTCATAAGGCACCTATCATCCCATTATTTTTTCTTTAAACAGCAGCACGGTTTTCAAAGGGTACTTTTCTGCAAAACACAGCTCTGCGACGTCATCCATGACTTGCACACTAACACTGAATGTCACGTCCAGACTGACGCAGTTTTTTTTAAAATTTTTTCTAAAGCGTTCGAGAGCGTCCCCCATCAAAGCCTCCTTTCTAAACTATCATCTCTTTGCCTCAACCAATAACCGTTTGCATGGATCCGTGACTTCCTTTTTTTTCCCGTGTACAGCTCACGTCCATTAATGATCATGAGTAAATGCATCTTCTGGTGTTCCCCAGGGGTTCGTACTCGGGCCTTTACTTTTTTTAATATTTATTAATGACATTCCCATTAAAATTTCTTCAAAAATACGCTTTTTCGCCGACGACTGCGTCATCTATAGCAAAGTAACTTGTGTGCAAAATAATAACCAGCTTCAGGAAGATCTAGATTAAATGAACAATTAATGCAAAGAGTGGATTATGTAATTAAACAAGTCTAAATCCAAACTAATTCACTTCACCAGGAAAAAAACCACCCTGTCATTCAATTACCTCTTGGAGTCCGATCTGATTGAGACCGCTACTGTGTATAAATACCTTGGTGTAAGACTAACATCTGACCTTTCCTGGAATAACCACATTGAAGCCATATTACTGCCGATTCATCCAGAACTCTTGGACTAATCAGACGTAACCTAAGAAGCACTCCACCCTTTGTCCGTAAGCTAACCTTTGACACGTACAGTGCTAATCACATTTGTCTATAACGCGCGAGCGTGCGGCTTTCTCCGGGGAGCGCTAGACTGGTGGCATTCGCGGAAAGTAAGCTAGTCACGTGACACAACATGGAACGGCCTGCTTGGACGGGTGTCATCCTGCCCACTCTATCAGCTGGCGGCAAACGCGGAAGGCTGCTCGTACGCTTTTTACAAACATCTTTGCTCGAACAATGAACAAACTAAAGCATGAAGGCGTATCAACGATGTCGTCATCAAAAAACAAAAAAAAAAATATATCATAAAGTACTTTACGCTTATCGCTCATCAAGCTGATAGAGTGGGCAGGACACCCCTCGAGTGGGCCGTTCCATGTTGCGCCACGTGACTAGCTTATTTCCGGGAATGCCACCAGTCTAGCACTCCCCGAAAGAAGCCGCACGCTCGCGCGTTATAGGCAAGTATGATTAGCACTGTACGTCAGACCAAAATTATAATATGCTTCAACCATCTGGAATCCCCATCACCTGTACCTCATCAGTACCCTAGAGGCAGTTTAGAACAGAGCTGCTCGCTTCATTTCGTCCACTTATGACTTTTCTTTCAGTGTCTCAGCGCTAAAACTCAACTAACCATGTCCTCTTTGCAGCTTCGCAGGAAGGACTCTCAGCTGCGCCTTATTCATAAAATCTACTACCACACTCCCGACCTCAAAACCACTTTGTTATTACCCCCCGACCGAACATTTTCTCGCCTCAACAACGTCTGCACCATCAAACGCATTTCTGACTCTACTAACGCTTTCAATCGGTCATTTATTCCACAAGCCGTCAGCGACTGGAACAGTCCCCTATCCTTCTATGTCACCATCTTGGACCCTGCTAATTTCTCCTATGCAGTAAAACTACACCTTTCTTGGCCCATGTGATGGTGTGCCGGCTAGGCAGAGAGCTGAAAAGGTTGTTTTGCCTATCAAGAGAGAAAAGATGTTGGAAGATCAGCTGCTATTTGCAGAGGGGGAAGCATGGTGGCGTAGAAAAGGGGGGGGGGGGGGGGGGGGGGCGAAGGAAGAAAGTGATTTGGATAGTCCAATCCCCCCCCCCCCCCCACACACACACACACAATTTTAACGAGCCCCCCCACTGCAACAACACTGCTACGAGGCGCGGGGA